TGAGTGTCCCCAGAGGTTTTTCTTGTCATTTTCCCCTAAAAATTACAGTATAACAAGTATTTTCATAGCTCTTATATTGTATTAACTCTTATAATTAATCTAGGCATGATTTAAAGTATATAAAAGATATTTGAAGGTATATGCAAATACTATCATATTTTATGTAAAGCACTTGAGGATCTGTGGATTTCAGGAGGGGGAAGAAGGGGTCCTGGAACCAATACCTAGATTATACCAAGGGAGAAATGTGTATGGTTTTCATGAAATTTGGAAACTTCTGGCTATTATTTCTTCAAACATTTCTTGTTCCCACCCTCTCCTCTGGAGATTGCACTTACATATATATTAGGTAACTTCTAGTTGTTCTACATCTCACTAACGCTCTTTCCATTGCTTAACATTTTTTTTTCTAAATGTTTCACTTTAGATGATTTCTATTGATGTGGTTTGCAGCTCACTAATCTTTTCTTTAGCAATGTCTAATTTGCCCTTAATCCAATTCAATGGTTTTATTGTTGTTGCTATTGTTGCAATGCTTGTAATCAAACTCAGGGCCTTGAGCATAACAGGCAAATGTCCTGTCACTAAGTTACATCTCCAAGAAGTGCTTGGTATATTTTTTAATCTCATAACATTATAGATTCCTTCTGTAGAAGCACAAGTTGTCTTTTGTTATATTTCCCCTATCTCTTCTAACCTTTTTGAATATTTGAAATAGAGTAACCATTTTAATGTCCTTTGTTAATTCTAATATCTATGACAGTTCTGGATCTGTTTCTGATTGGATGATTTTTCTCTTCATGTAGATTGTATTTTCCTGATCAAACCTCTGGATTACCAGTTTACAGGAAATACAGGAGAAGAACTACATTTTAAGCAGAAATGTAGAGTGCAATCAACAAAATGCAGAGTATGGGAAATTCCACAGGACAGTGTATCCATTCCTTTAACATATAAAGTATGAGGAAAGGAAAAAGTTTAAGAGACTTTAGCTAAAAGCAATGAGGGGCTTGTTTGGGTCTTGAGTTTAAGAAATAAATTACATAGAGCATTTATTGGAAACTTTTTAGACTATCTAGATATTAGGAAATTATTACTTTTAAAAGATTTTTAAGATGTTCTGATTTTTTTAAACAGGCCTTATCATGTAGAGAAACATGGTGAAATAGAGATGGGATAATCTGCTGCTTGTGATTTGCTTCAAGTAATCCACGGAAGGGAAGAAAAGGTAAAGACAGAAAAAATTGACCATGAGATTATAACTGTTGAAGCTGACTAATGGGTGCATAGTGATTTATTATACTAGTCTTTCTACTTTTGCACTTGGTATTTAATATCTTTCATAATGAAATGTTTTATATTTGCTATTTTTCATATTTGATATTTTTCATAATTAAAAAATTCAAATGTTCTCTTCTCTGAGAAGACTCTACCTAGCCCAATAGATTTAATTGTACTTAGAACTATTCCCCTCCCATCATAATAATTAAACACTCATTTATTTTCAAATCTTCTTTACCATAAGCACCTTAAGAGCAAAGATTGTGTCTTACTTATTTTACATTCTTTGTATTCCTACTTTCTGCCACAGAGCCTGGGTGCTCATAAATGGTAGTGAATTGACAATTCTCTGGCCCCAATTCACCAGGGTGCTCATGACAAGATTATGAAATCAAACTTCCAGGTGAGAATTGTGTCCTTTGCACATTCAAGTTATACTGTGTATAAACATATGGCAAAGGAGCCAAAGGAGTCCTAATGTAAAAATCTAGGCAATAAAACTGTCAAGACAAATCAAGAATCCGACTTGGCAGGGTCAGTAGTATTAAAATTATTCTATGGTTCTCTGTGTACTTCATCTTCTTATCAGTATGAATTGTGACCTTTACATAAAGTTCTTCATTCTGCCTTGCCTTTCTCATAGGATTGCTCTCAGTCTCAAATAAGATGTCACATGTACATGAAAGGGCTTTTAGAATGGAAAAATAGTGTAAATTGAAATACAACAGTTTCTTTCTTTCCAAGGCATCTCACAGACCCCATCATTTTAGCTATTGGAAGGACTGAATTTGGCTGAAATTGTTCAGAGAGTAAAGCCTGTTTGAGGCAATTTTATATAGTTTTCTTTCCTGGCACCACATATACACATGTATGTATATGTATGTATACAAATATGGTACCTGGGGTGTGCCTGGTGCTAGAAGCAGAGACAGAAGGACAGCACAGAAGCTGGGAACCTACAAGGTGTGATTGAAATATATGGTGAACTCTTTTCTCCTTAACCAACTGTGTTTTTTTATTTGTACATGTTTGCGATATATAACGATGGCAATTATCATAGGGAGTTGGTACATGTACATAATACATCTTAATTCTTTTTTTCCTCTCTTTTTTTTGTCATCCCCTAACCTTCTTCTCCTTCCCTGCGTCTTCCAATTCTTGGTGCCCTTTCCACTCAAAAGCTCTATTTTCATAATTTTTCCCCCTTAATTCTTTTTTTCCATCCCCTTTCCCTCTTCTCCCTCCCCCTTCCCTCCATCTCTTGTTTCTCCATCCATTTAAAAAGATCTCTCTATTTCTTATTTACCTATCTTTCACAATGCACTTCTCTCTCTCTCCCTCTCCCCCCATATATAAATTGAGTTTATCGTGTAAGAGAAACCATGCAATATTTAAGCTTGCATGTCTGACTTATTCTCAGTCAATATTATGGTTTCAAATTGCATCCATTTATCTACGAATGCCTCAAGTTTATCTTTATGGTAGAGTAGTACTTCATTCTGTATAAAAACCAGATTTCCTGGGGCCGGGAATTTAGCTCAGTGGCACCATGCTTGCCTCGCAAACACAAGGTCCTAAGTTCCATCCCCAGTACCAAAACAGATTTCCTTTATCCATTCATCTGTTCATAGGCATGTAGGCCATTTCCAAGATTTAGCTATTATAAATTGTGTTGCTATAACATAGGTATGTATGTATCACTGTAATATGTTGACTTTAACTCTTTCAGGAAGATACCTAGAAGGCGAATAACTGGGTCAAATGGAATTTCTATGTTTTTAGATTTTTGAGGAATTGCCACGCTGATTTCTGTAGTGGTTGTACTAGCTTGCATTCCCACCAGCAATATAAAGGAGTTCCTTTTTCCTCACATCCTAATCAGCATTTGTCATTTTTGATTTCTTGATAATAGCCTTTCTTTCTGGAGTAAGATGATAATTTAATGTTGTTTTAATTTGCATTTCTCCAACGGCCAGCGATTTTGAACATTTTTTCATGTATTCATTGGCCATTTGTATTTTTTCTGAGAAATGTCTATTCATTTCAGTTGCCCAATTTTTGATTGGGTCTTTTTATTTGGGGAAGGTAATTTTTTTTTAGTTCTTTATATATTCCAGAGGTTAGTTCTTTGTCCAAGGAATAACTGGGAAAAAATTTTCCCATTCTACTGGTTGTCTCTTCACTCTTGGTTATTTCTTTTTCTGTGTAGAAGCTTTTTAATTTAATAAGATCCCATTTGTTGATCCTTTGTATTATTTCTTGTGCTGTTGGAGTTCTATTCATAAAGGCCTCACTTATGCCTTTGTTTTCAAGAATTTTATCTATGGTGCATATTTAAATTTTTTCAATTTATTATAGTAAAAGACACATTGCCTAACTTCCCTCAAAATACCCTCACATTGCTTTAGGCTTTACCAGAGTGGGAGGAATTGAAATAGTGTGAGCATAACAGAGTTGAGAAGCATGATGGTCCACACTTGTAATCCCAGCACTCAGGAGGCTGAGGCAGCAGGATCTCTGCGAGTTCAGCCAGCCTGTGCTACATAGTGAGTTCATGTAGTCCAGCCTGAACTAGATAGTGGGACCCTGTCTCAAAAAAATAAAACAAACCAAAAAATACTCTCACTTCAGAAAAACTTATACCATCCTTCTTGCCACTTTCTTAAGCAGTTCTGAAAGTCCTCTTTCATGATTATTTTTTCTTAGGTGTGATAAAAAATATATGGTGAATGCTGCTGCTGAGTGCCATCCAACAGAAAAGCAGAAAGACATGTAAAAACATTACAGTGTGTCCTCATCCCCTATTCACCAGACCTAGCACTATGTGACTTCTAGCTCTTCCTCAAAGTCAAATGACCATGGAAGTTAAACATTTTGAATCCATTCAGGACACTGAGGCAGCCATAACAGCACACATGCTCATGAAAGAGGACTTCCAGAACTACTTCAGAAAGTAGCAAGAGCAATAGGATCGGTGTGTTTAAAGCAAGGGGGAGTATTTTGAGGGAGGTAATGGCAATGTGAGTTTTACTGTAATAAAGTTTTTAAAAATTTAACATTCAGTGTATTTTTTGATCACACCACATGTCCTCAGAGCCCACCTAGTCCTTGGGTACTTTTAAGTGTTCATGTACCTGCCATCCCTTAACCCTAGGTGCACCTTACTCCTGCTATTCAATCTCCTGATTAACTTATTTGTATGCTTACATATTTATTGATTTATCTTTTTAGTTAAAAATTTCACAAAAACACATTGTATTGGGAATTACTAAATCCGGGGAGATTTCCATTTTACAAATATATTATTGGAGAGGGCATGATTGTGGGCAGGTGGGCTTTGACTTTGTGAGAAAGTTACTAAGACGGCAATTTTGGGAAGCTCTCTGTGGCTGCATTCTCCTGTCCATTGGTAAGATTTTGTTTTAGGCCAATTTTACTTGGTGTGAAATTTGGGGAGTGGTTATAAGGGTGCGTGAGAGAATAATTCAGTAAGCTGGGCATTAGTTTTACATACCTTTCTGTATTGGGGTATTATTTAACGATGAGTATTTTTTAAATCTCTTCTTTCAAAATGCATGCAGCTTCTTGGGCTGTACACAGTGTGGTTGGTGCAGGTGCGGCCACAGCGGTTGGATCCAGAGTGTCCCGTCAGGGCGAGGCCTGCCTTCAATGGGGCTATGTGGCCTCCGAAAAGGGTCAAACAACCAAGCACTAGAACACTAACAGTAACTCTCCTCCAAACAGCAGGAACCTTTAGGTATTGCTTGCCTGCGGCCCGCACTAGGGGAGAGCACAAGGGCTGCGACCCGGCGCGGCTCTCGCTGCACCCCTGGCGGACCCCTTCCAGACGAGGCCGGCGGGAGGGGCGGAGCGGCGGGAGGGGCGGGGCCTTGCTCGAGGCCGGGACGGGGCGCACAGCCCTTCGCGGAGGGTGGGGTCGAGAAGGCGGCAGGCGGGGCGCGCTCGGACCTCCGCTCCTCACGCGGGGCGTTCGCAACCCGGACTTCGCGCCGCGGGGAATCTTGGTGGTGTGTGTGGCCTGCTAGGTGAGGAGAAGCCACGGTTACTGAGGTAGGCGCGGGAATGCCCACCGCGCGGCCTGCAGCTCCGAGCGCCCTTGCCCCGGCCTGAGGGGGTGGTGAGGCGGGAGGGGGGGGCGGTGCGCAGAGGCCGGGGCGGGGCGGGCCGGGGGCGGGGACCGGCGTAGCTGGAGGGGCCCCGGAGCTGGCCGGGCTGGGGGAGCGGGGAGTCGGGGGGGGGAGCGGCCGCCTCTGCTTGCCTCCTGGGTCTTGGGCCCGAGAGCCTGGAAAATGCCTGCCCCGAGCGTCCGCGGAGGACGAGGAGGAGGCCGGGCGCCCGGGCTTGTTTCCCCACATAGTCCTCGGGAACTTGTGAACCAGAAAGCTTGGCAGAGAAGCAAATACCAACGTCCTGGAAGAACTGAGAGTCACGTCTGTAGGCGATGAGGCTCTTTTTCCTTCCCCGCCCCCTGCCCAACCTTGGCCCGAGTTGGCCAAAGAAGGATGTGTCACCAGCTGGGGGCTGCGGGCGGGAGCCCAGAGTTGCTGGGAGCGGGGTACCTGAGACAAAGGTAATGGAGGCCGGGCTGACTACGCCTCTGCCTGCGCTCCAGCGCCCGGGGCTGGGGTCTCGCTGCAGCGCCAGCCCGGCCGCAGCTCGGAGGGACGTTCTCCTGGGAACTCTCGATGGAAACCAGCTGGCCGTGCCTGGAGTTGATGTTGCTTCTGAACTCTGCTGTGCTCACATTATTTCCATTCCTCTCATCCTGGTAAAGCCCGAGGAAGTTTTATCCCGCTTAATGATCAGTAAATATAGGGGGAGACAGATTGCTGTTTGTGAATTATAAGGTATTTTCTTATTAGGAAATGGTCTGAAAACACGAAATAAATTTTTAACATGTAAACAGAAAAGTAATTTATATTGCCTTTCAAAATCTGAGGAAGTGTTCCTCCTCAAATCTTCACTTATGTACAAAACATCCCCCGCACCTTTGGTGCCAGGCATTTTTCTTTGTTCTTCCTTAGTGTCAGGCCTCAGTTTCTTGTAAATAGAGCACCCAGCGCCAAACGTTAAGAATTGCCATACTAGGTCAGAACATGGGCGCCCAGCTCAGCAGGCAGTGAGCTTGTGTTGTATTAAAACACTGGGCTTTTTTCTTAGTGATACCATTAAAAAGTAACTCAATTTCTTTCAGTAGCCTTCATGACTAATACTGAAAGCCTTTTAAAAACTATAGATGAAACCTAATTTATACAATTTATTCACAGTTACTGAATCCAAATGGGTGTCCTGTTTCAGCCAGAAGAATTTATACCACCAGATACTTGTGCAAAACAAAAAAAAAAAAGTGGATCTTTTATATAATCAGGGAGTTCAGAAATCGAGGACAGAAAAACAAAACTTTTTTTTTTTAAATGAAAAGCTTTGGAGAAGTCTTTTCCAGGCCCATTCTGGCTATTGAGTTAAAAAAACAACAAAAAACCCCCCAGCTTTATCCACTATCAACCTAAATATTAAGGAGTTAACGACTTATTTGCTGTCATGAATGTTCGAATGTTTTACAATGAAGCTTAACTTTCTGGCAAGTGAAGGGGCTATCTGACATTATCTTTGTCAATTAATTCGACCTTGACGTGTAGCTGAAACCAGCTGTTTTGAGAGAGTAGCTGTTTTGTTTGAGCAAGAAAGGAATAAAGGAGATGGGTAATTTTGGAGTATCAAGTACTTGAAGGGGGTTCCTATTCAAACCTTAGCATTGCTTTTACACTTTTAACTAGACTCCTCACTGTTTCTGACATAGTCCTTACTAATCTGGGCCCTGCCATCTGTCAATGTGCAGCTGAAACTTTATTTCCTCAGCCTTTTCTTGACATCTTCACCACCACCCCCCAAACGAAAAACAACAAGAACCCACAAGTTATGGGAGTAGAATTAACCACCTTTTGAATATTACCATTCTCTAAATTAAAGTTTCTCACCCATGGTACTATTGACATTCTTTATTGTGGAAGGCTGTTTGTGCAGTATAGGATGTTTAGCTGCATTCCTGACCCCTAGCTACTTACTCGATACTAGTAGTACTTTATGTAGTTGTGACCGTCTGAAAATGCCTCCAGACATTTTCAAATGTCCTGAGAGAGGAACAGATTCATCCTCAGTTGATAATCATCATTCCAAACCTCTCTCTTAACAGTAACATTGTATTGTCCTCATTTGCTTATGTGTTGATTTCTTCTATACTAAACTTGAGGGCAAGAGCAGTCACTTAACAAACCTCTGAAGTCTTACTTTGCCAGCTGGATGCTAGGTTAAATCTCCAGTGATTCTGATGAGCAGGCTGCACTGAGAATGATTGACAGTGGATAGCCTCTGCCTACTTTACCAGCTTCATTTTGCATCATCCTGACCCCATCACACTCCTTGCTACAGCCATAGTGGCTTCTGGGTTCCCAGAAAAGGCTGTTCCCTTTTTCTTAAGGGCCTTCACACCTGTTCCTTTTGTCTGGAATACTGTCTCCCTAAGCTTCATGTAGTAAGCCTCCTTTTTATCCTTTAGAATCTACCTAAAGTCACTTCCCCAAGGACACTATCCATAGTTTCCAAATAGATCAGATTCCTTGTTTTATGTACTCAAAGCAACCTGTGCCTTTCTTTCTAGAATTTAACATAATTATAATCATGTATGTACACATCTGTCACCCCCTTTAGGCTATAGGGTGCAGAAGCACAGACATCACATCAGTTACTTTTACTACTGTATTCCCAGATTTAACCTAGTTTCAGTCCTCGGGAACTGATCGAGTTCATAAGTCAAGGGTTCACTGTTCTTTGTTCCTGTTTACACAAGTGATTGCAGACTGTATAGTTCTCTTAATGTCTTGGGACTCTTTCCATTTTAATACTTTCCTTATTGTTCTAAAATGACTAGTATTTCACTGTATGGATATATCACAGATTATTTAACCACTCCCCTAGTAATGGACATTTAGATTATTTCCAATTTATTATAAACAGTATTATGGATATGCCATTTCACATGTATATGAATATATTTGCAGGATAAATTGCTAGAAGTGGGACTGTTGGGTCAAATACATATATATACATATTTGTATACATGTATATTTTTATATAATGTTTGTATTTGCAAAAACTTATGTTTTAAGATTCTGATCATGTAGGAGACAATGGTTTAGAAAATGATTCTAAACTTTAGAGGGAAACAAGACTGAATGTGGGAGACAACTGACCCTAATTAAGGTTACTGTTGGTAGCTAGGAGAAAAAAGATGATACTGGGACTACAGTGGTAGCAGTATAGCTAGAAAGACATACATGTATACACCAGATGCTGTATTTCCCTGAAAGTAAGACTGGGTCTTATGTTAATTCTTACTCTAAAAGACACAATAGGGCTTATTTTCAGGGAATGTCTTATTTTTTCATGTATAACAATTTACATTTATTAATGTACAATAATCACATTCATTTGTTCGTGCACAAAAGTCTATATTCATGTACCAAAATCTAAATTTATTCAGATACAGTCATGTCTTCTTCTAGAACATTGTCATAGCTCTCCAAACCTGAAATTCTGGACTGCATTTCCCTCGACACCCATTTCCTATAGAACCATTGGCTCCAAACTCACCAGCAGTAGAGCTCTCCTTAAGTGATTACTTCTTGTCCGTGTAGCCTACTCGTAGTTCATAGTTACAACACAGGACGTATTGAATTATGAAGATTCGTGTTAGACACAACCACATCCATTTGTTATCAAGTGCACATATTACTTGTGAGTTGCATTGGTATTCCAGTTGATCATTTGGCAATAAGTCTGGAATTTGCCTGTTTATATAGGCATTTACATCTCATCCAAAGGTGCCTGGTTGGGTATTTACAAATACTTAATTATAATTCATATTATCGTTTTACTTTAAGAATTAATTTCAATATTATTTAATTGTATATTAATATTACTTTTATAATTCAATACATCTCTCCTGTGGGCCAGTGAATATACTAAAATGCATCCATCTGGTTGATGATCTTAACTGGATCTTGTTTTGTGAGTAGGGCTTATATTATAAACATCCTGAAAAATCAAGCTAGAGCTTCTTTTCTGGCTAGGACTTTTTCCTAGGAAATATGGTATATTTATGAGACATAATTGATAGGATTTGGTGGTTGATGTCATATAAGGACTAAAGGGGAGAAACAAGTTCATAGGATGAATCCCAAAGTTCTAGATTACTCTATGTGAATGGTAGAATTGTTACCTGAAATAGAGAACCCTGTAAGACAGTTTTAAGGTAGATTTAAATCACAGTTCACACTGGAATGCTGAGATTTTTTCAAGTACAGGTGTTGTAAAGGGCAGAACTGGAACCACAAATTTTAGGTTAAATCGAAGGGTATGGGTGAAATTACCAAGGACAGAGGTTGCCAACCACAGAACCTGGCTCACAGATGGTTTTTATTTTTCACATGTGATTGTTTTGTTGTTTAATTACTTGCCAATATTTTAAAATCTAAAGATTTCCCATGAAAATCGATTTGGGGCTCCTCTGTAAAAAAGAAAGCATATGGAATGACTATGCTGGCTTTCCAAATGGCAGCAATGATAAAAGCTAAGTCACAACTGATCCTCATGTAGCTGTTCTTTAAATCTTCACAGAGCCTGCCACTCCCTAAAATGTATGCCAGGCCTGTTTTGCTCATTTACTTCATTGATTGCATAGGCTTTTGAGTGTATAGTCTCAAGGGAGAGTATAGAACAGTGATTTTGGTTGTGCACATTGGAATCACTGGATAATTGAAAAGTGCTAATGCTGGAGTCCATCTAAGAAAATTTCTATTTACTTGGCTTGAATTGTAGTCCTGGATTTTTAAGCACTCCTCAGGTGATTCTGCTGAGCAATGGGATGAAGAACTACTGACGAAAATTAACAAGAAAAGAGCAGTTGGGCCTAGTTTGTTAGAGGAAGGTAGCCCAGGAAGGGGATGAGGTACTTGAAGGAAATCTAATTCTAATTTAAGGTATGTCATAAACAAGGGAAAAAGTTTGTTTCGAAAAGAAGAGTCATCATGTAAAGACATGGACCAAAAATAATCTGTTGAATTTAGCAAAATGTGATCTTCAATCTCAGTAGGAACCATTCTAGATTGGAAGAGGTAGAAACCAGATTAAAGTGAGCGTGATGCAGGCCATGGTGGCACATGCCTGTAATCCCAGCACTCGGGAGGCTGAGGCAGGAGGATCACCGAGAGTTCAAGGCCAGCCTGGGCTACATAGTGAGTTCAGGGCCACCCTGAACTACAAAGGGAGACCCTGCCTCAAAAAACCAAAAAAAAAA